GCGCTGCCAGGGCCTTTTTTGCAGAGCTACTTTCTAATTGGGCATCCCCCAGAATATATTCATTGACTGGGATTGTTCTTCTCCAGATGCAGAGTTTTGCACTTTCCTTGTTGAATTTCATGTGTTTTCTGTCAGACAATTTCTCCATCCTGTCAAAGTCCCTCTGAATGGCAGCACAGCAACTCTAGTGTATCAACACTCTTCCCAGTTTTGCATGCTACAGCAGAGCCAGGGAAATCATGAATAACCATCATTCAGCTCATCGATGAAGATGTTAAATGAGACTGGAGCAAGTATGTACCCCTGGGGTACATCACTAGTTCACCTCCAACTAGATTTCGTTATCCTGATCACCAACTCTGGGCCCAGCAATTAGCCAGTTTTCAGTCCACCTCACTGTCTCCTCATCCAGACCATACTTCCTTGGCTTCTCTATGAGGAACTTACAGGAGGCAGTGTTGAAACCCTTACTGTAATCTATGTAGGCAGCAGCCGCTGAACTCCTTTCAGCTATCGAGCCTATCATTTCATCATATGAGGTTGTCAGGTTAATCAAGAATGACTTCCCCTTGGTGAAACAAATGCTATCTACAACTGATGATTTTCTTGTCCTTAATGTGGCTGGAAATGTTTTCCAAGATTAGCTGCTGTATCATCTTCCCAGGGATTGAGGTTAGGTTGACCTGCCTGTAGTTCCCTTGGCACTCCTTCTTATTCTTTTTGAGGATAGAAGTGACATTTACTCTTCTGCAGTCCTCAAGCACTTCTCCCAGTTGGCATGATCAAGCAAAACCTATCAAGAATGGGTGCCTCCCATGAGTTCCTGTAGAATTATGTATGTCCACTTTGCTTAGGTATTCTGTAACCTGATCCTCTTCCACAAAGGATAAGTCTTCCTTGATCCAACCTTTCCCTGGTCTGAAGGTTAGTAGACTGAGATGAAGAAGGCATCTAGTAACCCAGCCTTTTCCATGTCTTGTGTAGCCAGGTCCCCCATTCCATTGACCAATAGGCCTATAGTTTCCCTATTTTTCTTTTTGTCTTCTATGTTCTTATAAAAACCTTTCATTATTATCTTTGACATCCCTGGGCACTTTCAATTGCAGTTGAGCATTGGCCTTCCTAACTGCATCTTTGAATGGTCAGATAGTTTGTCTGTATTCCTCCCAGGTTACCTGTCCCTGCTTTCATCTTATTTCTACTTCCTTTTTTTTGTTTGAGTGTGGCTTATACATCTAGGCCTCCTGATATTTTCATCTGACGTCCTCTTTGAGATGGACTGCTGTTGAGCTTGGATGAGGTGATCTTTGAATATTAACCAGTTTTCTTAGGCCCCTGAGATTGTAGTGCCTCATGCCAAATCAAATAAAAGAATGTCCTTCTCATCTTCAGCTATCAAAAACACTAGTCACTCTTCAAGGTTGTATTGGGCTAATGTGACAAGGTTTTGGTGGCAGTGGAGCCACAAAGGTGGCTTTTGTGAGATGACAGAAGCTTCCCCTATGTCTGACAGAGCCAATGCCAGCCAGTAACAAGAAGGACCAGCCGCTTGTGAAAGCTGATCCCATCAGCAACTGTGGTAGAACCTCTGGAATGACAGATTTAAAAAGGGGAAAAAAACTGCTGTGCAACAGTAGCAGGAGAGGGGTTTTAAAATATGTGTAACAACTCTGCAAACGCATGGGTCAGTGAAGAAGGAGGAGGAGGATGTGCTCCAGCCACTGGAGCAGATTCCCCTACTGCCCATGGAGCCCATGCAGACAATGGAGGTCCACAGCGAAGCAGATACCCATTTCGCAGTCCATGAAGAACACCATGCAGGAGCAGGCCCTGAAGGAACATGTGACCCTGTGGAAGCTCACACTGGAGCAGGCTACTGTAGGACGTGTGACCCCATGGAGAGAAAAGCCCATGCTGAAGCAGGTTTACTGGCAGGACTTGTGACCCCACTAGGGGGACCCACAATGGAGAAGGCTCTTCCTGAAGGACTGAAACCCATGGGAGAGGCCCACTTGAGCAGTTAATGAAGAACTACAGCCTGTGGGAAGAACCCACACTGGAAAAGTTCATGGACGACTGAGTGCTGTGAAAGGGACCCCACACTGGAGCAGGAGAAGAGTATGAGTCCTCCTCTTCCTGAGGAGGAAGGAAAGGCAGAGACAATATGTGATGAACTAGCAACAGCCCCCATCCTTCTGCACTGCTGGTTGGCAGGAGAGGGGGAGAAGTTTGAAGTAAAGTTGAGACTGGAAAGAAATATGTAAGGTAGGGGGAAGATGTCCTAAGATTTAGTTTTATTTCTCATTACCATATTCTGATTTAGATTGGCAAGAAATTAATCTAATTTTCTCAAGTCAAATCTGTTTTGCCTGTGAGAGTAATTGCTGAGTGATCTCTCCCTGATTTTTCTCAACCCATGAAGCTTTCATGATATTTTCTCTCTCCCCTGTTCTGCTCAGGATAAGAGTGATAGAGCAGCTTTGCTGGGAGCCTGGTAGCTAGCCAAGGTCATCCCACCACAAAGGTAAAGATGCATTGCAGTTTGTTAAAATTATCTCATACTGTATGGGATAATTGTTACACTAGATACAGACATTGTGATTCATACTCTGCCATATGGGAGATTGTATATGATCAGTCTAGATCACATTACAGGGGTAATGCTGCCTTCAGTTCCATATGGATTCCAGAGGAACCAGTTTCTTCAACATCTTGGGGAGTTCATAAAGGATGTTGGATAGAAATTTCAGGCAGACTATATTGGTTAAACAACCAGTTCATTCTTTTGAACATAGTACAGATATTACCTATTTAAATGGTCTCAGAGATTATATTCTTGCTTGGCTTCTTTCATATGAAATGTTCTAATCTGATATCTCTTTTCTTTACAGAAATAGAAAGGATTAATCTGTAATTGCCTTGATGGGCACACTCAAAGTTTAGTAAGTACAACCTTAACAGGATTTGAACAACCCACTGTCTTTCAATTGAGATATTGACAGTCATACCTAAGTCTTCCAAGTCTTTGTTTGTTATTTTTAGAATTTATAGATACATTATTTTACTCTCAGCATAGGTCCCCTATATTTTCCAGTTAATGAAACAGAAAAATACTAATATTTTACTGTTGCAGTTCTTGATAGTCAGTAGTTTAAAGTAAAGGTCAAAACTATAAAACTGTATATGTTATAGTAGTTCATGTGTGGGACTCACACACATTCAAGCTCTGATTAAAAGCACAGCTAATTTATTACACTGTATAACTCTTCTCTTAGTTAAAAAAAATAGGGAAGAAGAATTCAACAAAATTTTTCTTTTGCTGGGTGATATCTATGTCTATATTATGTCTTGAGACAAATGGTAAGTTTCCTTAAAAAGTAATTTAAAAAGTCCCACTAAGTTAGAACTCCAAACCATTAACTTCAAACATACAGAACTTTCTTTTTTGCAATTCTTTACCAAAAACAAATATCAAATGTCACAAAATGCATACATACACAACTGACTTCACAACATTATCTGAGTAGTTTATGTACTTCAGTTTCAGTTTTCCATATTTTTTTATACTTCTTTCTTTCACAGCATAACTGTTTAGACTTTAAATACCTCGTAATTGCAATTCTCCATATCCTTAATACTGTGAGTACATTTGCTTTGATGTCCCTAGAGTCCAAATTTTATTAATCTGTGGCTCCAGAAGCTTCACATTGTTGAAATAATAATTTCAAAAGCCTTTGGCCACTTTGTAGGTTGAACTGGAAGGGTGGAAGTGCATGTTGTGGAGTGTGAAGCAGTATCTTTCACCATCTGACAAATTCCCTGACAAAGGACAGTCCCAGGTTCAGTGTGATTGGCAGCTCCTGCAGCTTTTGGACCTGAACAGCTGTGCATTGCAGCTGAGCTGAAAAGGGTCCTCTAATTATCACAACGATAACAATCAACTGGTTCTGGGTAAAAGGGACCACAGCTGAGAACTGGCTTTGTAAGCTACTTAAAATTTTTCATAGCCCACGTGCAGTCTGCAGTCTACCCTTTGTGACATTAGACAGTCTAGTAGCAATAAAAATAGTGGTATTGCTGCTAAGTAATTAAATTATGCTAGAGAAATGCAGTAAAAAGTTTATTAATGCTTTTCGTTACAAAGCAAAGTGTATTTTTATATAAAAAAACATTGAAATACTGGAGACAGTTTAGCCTAATCCATGAAGCTGAATGCTGGCTTAAGTGATATTTTAAACAAAATGGTAATGATTGTTTAGAGGTGTTTGACACATTGCAGTCTTCAAAGAGAGAGAGACAGAAGGCAAATAAAACCTGACACACACTACTGCACAATCTGGAATAATGGCATGATAAGGATGGAGAAGGTAAAACAAAGATATGCAAAGCTTTACAAGATAGCATGGAATACCTGTCTGGCAACTTAAATACATGCTTTTCTGTCCATTCCAAACTGAGATGTTTCCCTGGAAAAAAAAGTCCTAACAATTATTATGTGTGGTAAGGTAAATGTAGAGGTAGAATTATCACCAAAACCTAAACCCAGTAATTAGCAAGCACATAACAAGTAACATATAGGAAAACATATTAATTTTAATATTAATGCTTATTGGTATCCCTGATAGTTGTAATAGTATTTAATATCAAAAATCAAGGTCAAAGCATGTGCACTAATTTTATACAATGTTCCACTGAAAAAATTAACAAAGTTCACAAATTTTTATTTTTTCTCCCTTTTAATTACAAAAGACTTTGCAACAAATTATTGAAAATAGTGTATTTTGTGAAAATTTTTGATTTTCAATAAAGAAATTTAACAGAGTTTAACATGACTTCTTGTGAGATACTATTTGAGAAGACTGTGAATTTCCTTCCAAAGGGGTTTTTAAGCTTTCACTGAACAAAGCTACAGTTGATGCAATCTATTGTCAGTGGGCCTGGCCCCGGGCGTGGAAAGGAGAGAGAGAGGGGGAGCTTCGCCAGCACGAACTGTGCCCTCGTGGGAGATGAGAGGAGGAGCCTCAGAGGACACAGAAGAGAAGGACAACTCTAAACCCGGGCAGATGGAGCTTGACTAGCCCTGTAAGGCCATCCATCTAAGAGAAGGTCGCTCTAATTAAACCTACGTCCTGACGACCTCGCTGACACCATCCAAGCTCGCTTGGCCCTGGCAGATGAACCTTAGGATTAAAGCGTGGGTTCAGTTCCGTGCACACTGTGTCTCACCTAAAAAATCCATTGCATAGGCTCAAAGGCCTTACCCACATTTGCAAAGCCCTGTAGTGACATCTTCTACAAATGCAGTCACACAAAGATCAAAAGACAAAGGCATATACACCTGCCTCCAAAGGTTTTCCCAAATTAACTCTAGCATGCTGGGGGTTTTTTTGGTTGTTTGGGGTTTTTTTGGTTTTTTTTTCCTCAAATCTTCGTTCGCGAAGCCTGGCCATGATGATGATTGCCAGTGATATTCCCACTTAAAGGAAAGTTGGATTGTATGACTGCCAGAGATCCCATTTTCTTGGTCATTAATTATTTGACAGAAGTAAGAAAAATGTTTGGAAAATAAATGAAACATATAATACAACAATAGTCACCAAAATCTTTGCAAAGCAGAAAACCAAACATAAAGAGTTCTTAATTTACCATAATGAACATTAGAAACTCCTTTCATTTATACTTAGACCTGATTTGTTTAGACAACAGTAGTACTTAAGGTTTGCCCCCACTCTTAGGACTTTTAGAGAGACCAAAAGACTGTCTTTTTGAGAAAAAAAAAAAGCTTCAAATAAAAAGGATTCATTAAATTAATAGAAATATCTCCTGATTTCCATCAACTTGACATATCAGGCTTGTAAAATACTCTAGTGGTTGACACGTAACACTCAGGGCTACGTTCTTTTTTTTCATTTTGTTATTCTCCATCCTGAATTTTACTTAATCTTATTTCGTATTGTCTCTACCATTTCTGGAAAACCACTTAATATCCACATATATCAGTTTCACATTTACTAAAGTAGTACACTAATATTTTTTTTTACTCAAGCTGTTGTCAGGATTAATTAGTGTAGCTAACAGGTCTAAAAAGAATTTGTCATTTGAAGTCAGCATTGACTAAAATACCATAGCTGTCCCATTAACTTGAGTTGAATTTTTGCCTGAATACATAATACAATATTAGTTTATTATCAGCAAACAAGATGTTCTCCTATATTTTAATTCTCTTCTTAATGGGAGGCTGCATTTTCTTTTTTATTTGATTTGATGTTTTTGGGCAGCTTTTTAAAAGCCAAAAAAATGAATAAATAGAAACTGAGAAACTGTCAAAATCTCCTTACAGAATGTAATGCCAATTGAGAGCTGGAATAATCAGAAGTATGGTAAATATAACATTCCTTATGCATATGCTGCAGAAAATACAATTTTTCAAGACCTTGTTCCAGTTAAAGTGGAATAGCATACATTTGGCTTGATATCAGCTAAACTTCAGGTTAATCACACTTTTAGCTATCACAGAGTGATGGTACGCAGAAGCTGAAGTGAGACTTTGCATTTAACGGATGAAATTCTATTTGCTACAAACTGATAGCGGGTTTGGCAGCTGAATGATGTATTTCCGGAAATGGGAAGATGTCCTAGAAGTAACTCATGGCTGTTTCCAAAGATTTATTAAAACTAAGTTGACACCTGCATCACTGATAGAGGTAATTTCGGAGCTCTTGAAATTCTACTGACCCTAGGATAATGAAAATACCACCTTGTCCACATTTGTATTCCATGGCAGGTAGCATGGGCTCATGGCTCAGAATGTGAAACACTATCATTATGTGCTGAAGGAATTCACACCAGTAGCTGAGGGCAAATGCATAGACTTGAAGATATTTCAAGAAAAGGTAGATACAATACTCAGAACAAAATGAGAACTCTGTGCATAAACAATGATAACAGGTTATTTGGATAGTTAATAAAACTTAGGGTTCTGTAGGAAGAGTGCAGCCTTGTAACTAAGGCAGACTTTTTTTTTAAGGATTTTTTTTGTTCTCTATCAAACAAGAATTTATATTATGCCTTAAAACAAATTAAACCCAATGCATATTAAAAGTGCCATGAAAAGTGCTTAGAAAAGTCTTGCTGGGGAAGAGACGTGCATATTTATGACACAGACAGCCATGGGCTGTACAAATTAAAGCTTTGCTTATAATCCAAATAATGTTTTTAACACTATTTTCAGATAAGAAGGATGTGTGTTAAAGTCTGATCAAAAGTATCAAATCTTTAGGCTCATTCAAAATGCAGATTGGCAATGTGAAACGGGATGATTGCTTTATACTAAAACACAGAGGACATATTAATGAAAATCAAGAGAAATCACTGGAACATTTGACTACTTTTATTAACTTTGTCAAAAAAAACCAAAACCCCCTACCTTCTTCCCATGGTTTATTAATCACATGCACTTGTAAAGTGTTTGAAAATTCACAGAGATTAGAGGAACAAAGGTAATCCAATGAATGGTCCTGAGGAAGCTGATCACGACCGGATAAACAGGAAACTGGTAATGAGAAAAAAAGGAAATACTTTTAAAACTCATTGCTGTGAATTTCGAGTTATCATGAGAACTGAAACATTTCCTTTACAAATCATGCCTATGACTCAGCTATAGATCATGTCAGAAAGGAGGTACACAATTCTGTCTTCCTTAAAGATACTGAGTAGTAAGGGAGAAAGTAATATTTTGAGGAAACTAATATTGAGGCTGTACTTATACAAAACTGTAAATCTGTAATGTTAGTGTCTTTCTGGGACAAATCAAATGATTATTCCTTATTGAATTAGTCACCTTATTAGATGGCTTTGTTGCTGAAGATTTTTATTGAAACACACTTCTTTCCAGTAAAGTTTGCTACTATGCTTGTCCCAAAGTGCCAATTGACTGACAAGTTTGTCTTAACTTCATTGACTAAAATAATGACACTCTTGTGTTTAAAATAGCCAAGGAGCCTGTAATAGAGTGTGCTACACCTGGGAGCTGCAGTTAGTTTTCATTCAGAATTAGAGAGAAAGGACAAGGCAACCATGTCCAATGATAGTTTCATGGCTGCAGCTCTTGCATAGGATGGACATTTGATTTTGGTTCTGTGTTCCTCAACCCACAGAGTGTCACAGGATTGCTGATTCTTCATGACAATATTTGATTTATTAAATAAAAGGAAAAGGACAGGGAATACATTTTTTTTTTTAGCACTCTGTAGTCATTACTTTTCTTTTTGAAGCCGTGCCTTGAATCTGAATTCTCTGAGTCTGTATTGGGTTTGTGTGGCCAGGTTTTGTAGGGGGGGGGGGCTACAGAGGTAGATTCTTCTTCAAGAAGCTGCCAGAAGCTTACCCCATGTCTGACAGAGCCCATGCCAGCTGTCTCCAAGACAGACCCACCTCTACCCCAGGCCGAGCCAATCAGTGATGCCTCTTAGTAACATATTTAAGAAGATAAAAGGAGCCCACATTGATGCAGCCTGTTCCTGAAGGACTGCACCCTGCGAAAAGGGACCCATGCTGAAGCAGGTCGTGAAGAACCTGTGGGAAGAACTCATGCTGGAGAAGTTCATGCAAGACAGTTTCCCATGGGAGGTACCCCACACTGGAGCAGGGGAAATACTCTTCTCCCTGAGGAGGAAGCAACGGCAGAAACAGTGTGTGATGAACTGATCATAACCCCTATCCTCCTTGTGCCACTGGGAGGGAGGAAATAGAGAATTGGGAATGAATTTAAGCCTAGGAAGGAGGAAGGTGTGGGAGGAAGGTGTTTTTTAATATTTGTTCTACTTCTCATTATCCTACTCTGATTTTGATTGTTAATAAATTCCATTAATTTCCCTATGTCCAGTCTGGTTTGCCTGTGAGGGTAGTTGTTGAGTCCTGCCTTTATTTCAACTCATGAGCCTTTCGTTATATTTTCTCTCCCCTGTCCAGTTGTGAAGGGGAGTGATAGAGCAGCTTTGGTGGGCATTCTGTGCGTCAAACCACCACAGAATCTAATAATTCATTTCTAAAGTTAAGTACAGAAGCCTACATGTGTATAGTGTTCATTTACAGTGAACACATAGTGTTCTCTGTTGATCGTGGTGTCCTAGGATTATTTTGATATTATAATAGTTTCAGAACATTGAAAAAGTTATAGCTGCATTTTTTTTACATTGTATTTTAGCATAGGTTTTACATAGACCTGTTCTATTAGGAGTAATCACCAGGATATTTTTAATTCCCTTTTTACTCCTTTATGATCCATGAAGTACACCACTATGTTTCCCCACTTTTTTCCCTCATTATTCATTTATTTTATGAATTATAAGAAGTGAACAATTTTCACCGAAATCAAGGGTTTTTTTCAGTGTAACTTAAGTTGATTATATATCAGTTTAATATATTCACAAAATGTCTGTGTGAACCCCTATAATGGGAGATACCCTAGTTTAATTCTAAAAATTCACGCTAGTTAAGTCTCATGGCTTGAAGTAGTTTAGAAACAGATTCAGCTAAATAGATACAACCTCTTTTAGGGTACTTTTATGCTAGTCCCATCAGTTAATTCATTCCAATTGGAAAAAATGTTAATCTTCACAAGTTTTCCAGAGATCTGCCTGCAAATACCAGACTGGAACACATCCGGCTTATCTCAGTAAAATAACCCTAGGTATTGAATAAAAGCTAGAAAAACAGCTATATCCAACTTACAAGATATATTGGGTTTTATTTCTTATAGGATTTCACACAGTGGCAACAACTCATGTTAAAAAGACACCTGTCACTAGTGAAAACAGAACACAGATTAAACGAGACCTATTTTCCTAAATGGATGTAGCATTGAAGAATATATTGTGCCACCTGCTTCTATTAAAGAACAATTGTCTTACCACTTTCCAAGCTTCATTTAGGTACCATAGCTAAACAACTATTAGTGGTCTAGGAAAAAAAAAAGAAAAAAAAAAAGGCAATCTTTTCAAGGTCCTATATTTTAAGGAGTTTTTTATTTTTAGTAGAATAATTCAAGTTAGAAGAGAACTCTGGTAGTCAAAC